CCCCAAAACCCCAAAACCCCAAAACCCCAATTCAATCATCAAAATAATTCAAAGAATCAGAAGAAATAAAAAATGAAGCCATCATCTGCCCGTTCGTCTCTTACCAGTCTTAAAAATGATATTCTCTATATGAAAGCTCTTCGAGAGGGACCTCAGTTAATCCAAGACATCAAGTCCTTCTACACAAAACAACTCAAGGTTGATAATCCTGAAATCAAAAAGCTATTTATGAATAGGAAATAAGTTCGTTTTCCGAATGAATAGGAGAGGAGGGGTTGACCTAAAGTCAGACCAGAACCAGTCTGTAAGAATAAAACCTCGAGTAACCTCCCTTATGGAAAAAGACAAGCAACAGCAGGATAGACTCAAAGAGCTCTCTAGAGATACTACAACCTTCAATGCTTCAAGGTTAAGACTTAGTAAAAGCAGACATCACCAGTCTTATCAAAGCATTTACCATACTCAGAAAAGGCAAGGAAGGGAGAAGACTCCTGATGCCAACCGATATGGGCAGATCAAGATTCTCAGAAAATTTACGAAGAGGTACAAAGATAAGGAGGCTTCCAAAGAGGTATAACTTACAACCAGATCAGGGACAACATTCGGACAGTCAAAATGTCTATCAAGAAGCACTCCAAGAGCGGAAGTAAGACCTATGCTGTATTTCTCTAGAAAATATCCTCAAAAAGATTAAATCAAACCATCTCAAGAGGAAAGATAGCTCCTCAGGTATATTTGCCTTAACTAATTCCAGCGGAGAGAAGCCCTGAGTACATTAAAGGAGAAATATTCTTCAATCCAAAAGGAATGTTTCAACTCAGGATTAACCAGTTCAGAGAAGTTACAACAGCTTCTCCGTATAAAGGAGAAAATAGGAAAGTCAACATATCCCAGAGACTTTATGATGCATTGAAGGACCAGACCTCGAAGAATTCACATAGCAAGGAATATAGGAAAAGCTTGATAAAATATATCAAAAATGATATCAACCCGATCAATAGATCAGCTCTTTCACTTGATATTGACTCTGAGTAATAAACATATCTGACTTTGCTAGCTTAGACGTTGATATATTTTCTTGAATAAGGAACATAATCCCTTCTTTAGCGATGAAAAGACAAAGAGATTACTCAAGGAGTATAAAAAGAGCATTAACAAAGCCATTGGCAGCAAGGATTTTGTTACTAATCTTTCAAAGCGTTTTCAAAACAGTAGAAGTGATAAGAATTTATAAAGGGATTTTAGAATACCTCATTCAATCTTCAGATTACATATTGGGGTTTTGGGGTTTTGGGGTTTTGGGGTTTTGGGG